CTGAACTCCAGGCAAATGGCTAAATACAAAGATGAAATGCCGATATGAAAGCTGTTTTACCTGCCCTAGGATTTGCATACTGTCTAGGGATGCAGGTTTTTTCGGTAGAGAGTATGAGTACCGATATTTTGCTTTTGGTACTCACCAATAACAAGTACCGATACAGGTGCTTCTGCTGGCATGAAGCCGGCAACCCGGGCAATCAGGAAGCCGGGCGGCATGTAATGACATGCTGCCCGGCTTCCTGATTGCCAGGGAAGCCGACTCTATATTGTTTGGCCGGCTCAATTGTGATTTGCTGGGAAACCAGCTCCCCAGCCAATCAATAAAGGTGATTATTTTAAGAAATAGTGTAGTACTATCAAAATCTGACAATATGTGTTCTGTTTATGCATATACAATGGAAATGTATATGTGCCATTGGATTTTGATGGTACTACAGACACACTATTATTTTCTTATAATAATCACCTTTATTAAAACAAATTTTAAAAACAATAACACCTATCATATACAAAAGCAAGTGTGTGTCATCAACAACAAGTTAATAATATAGACTTCATGTAACCTGAGAAACATGTCTCATTGACCACCTGGATGTTTAGTCATCGTGATTTGTAGGATGATTCATATAAATATCATTAAACAAATACATACAGTTCATGAAAAATCAGTCAATTTGGCTAGAAAATTTTGCCAGCGGAGGAGACAAAAGACTCAAAGCACATGAGTTTCATAAATAAGTGGAGCACCTAAAAACCTTAGAACATTATTGCTGTTTGTTTCCTCTTTTGGTAGATTTACCCTTATTATTTGCCCTAATGACTATTGTCACTAAACCTGAAAGCCATTGTTCAAAGAAGCAGCTCTCTCCAATAGGAAACATTTGTTTCTTATTTCTTTTTTCATCCTTCTTCCTCATCCTCCTTCCTCCCATTCCACCTATATTTTCTCCCACATGCTTACACATGATTGGTATGGCAAATGCAGGATGAAGGCAACGTAGATATGTTTCAAATGGCCAGGTCTATGAAGTAATTTCCCCATTGCAGAAACTCCTAACAATGTACAATATAACTTCTAACTAAGGGAAGATAAACGATGTAGAGTACATTAAAATAAGTTTAAAAATGGTTTGAGTCAAAATACAACTAATGCTTATTTTGTTTTCATTTGTTTGAGTTGGGAAGAGACAGAAGTTCTGTCAGGTTTTTAATGTGGTCTGGAAGTGATGGAAAGTGTCTCAAAAAGGGACATGATCTGCATAAAATCACTTTTTTTGGTTTCAACTCAAAAACATAAAATATGTTATACTTAGCACAACAGTACAATAGATAAAAGAATGTAAAGTAATTTTTGAAGCTTGAGTGCAAACTATGAACTTTTACAATCCATTTTTTTTTTTTAAAGATGATTAAACAAATGGTATGTATATAATGGTAAAAAAAATGGTGGTCATAGTGGTACCTTGCATACAAATATTATTTGTATGCAAATATTATTTAACCACTTAAGGACAATAGGGCATACCTGTACTAGAGTACATAAAAAATAAGTTTAAAAATGGTTTCAGTCAAAATCCAACTAATGTTTTTTTTTTTTTTTTCATTTGATTGCATTGGCAAGAGGCTGAAGTGCTTTATTGTGGTCTGGAAGTGATGGAAAATCTCTCTGTTGGAGACATGGTCTGGATAATATCACTTATCATTATCATTATATTTTTCTTAAGTCTACTGTACATTAGACTCCTTCCCAGTCATTAAATAATCTTAAACCCACTTCATATTAGGTCTCGGTATCCAATATACACTACATGTCACATCCCTCTCACAATTATAGCTCAAATTATTTTAAACTATTTCAAAATTTCCAACTATTTTTTCCCTCTCGGGGCTTCCATGCAATGTCTCTCATAGGGGAAAAGACTGGAATACTCTCATTCCAATGAGGTATATCGAGCTCCTGGAACTGTAAGCCCTCGTTCACACCTGAACGCTTTGTAGCGCGTTCTACGCTTGACGAACTCTCTACAAAACGCTCAAAAATATAAACCCCATTGTATTCAATGGTCTCGTTCCCACCTTGGCGTATTTCCGCCCGTCCCTAACGCGCTACAAAACGGCCCACGCCTGAAAAGGTACATGTACTACTTTGGGCCGTTTTGTTGCGCGTTTCCATTGGGATACAGCCAAGTAGCCTTCGGAAACGCGCGTTAGTCGCGTGACTTTTTTACCTAGAATCGCGGTAAAAAACCACGCGACGGTCGCGCAACAGACGCGCATATGCAATACGCCTAGGTGTGAACGAGACCTTAAACAGAGCAAAATCCATCCAAGTCCTCTGGATGGCATAACACAACAGACTTCCCATTCTTGCGAGCTATCAGGCATGATGGAAACCCACAGCGATATACAATGGAATTAGCATGCAATCTCTCCAGCAGGGGTCGCAACACTCTCTTCCTTTTTATAGTTTCACGTGCTTAGTCAGGAAAGATTTTTAACGATACACCTTTATATGTAACTGAATCAGTGTTCCGAAGTTTCCTCATAATTTCTTCTTTATCCATATAATAGTGACAGCGACAAACAATGTCTTGTGGCAGGTCCGTAGCACTGTTGCACACATATGGCACATGGTAGGCACGGTCCAGCATTAGGGGGGAGGCGAGTTCCCTACCCAACATGTTATTAAAAATAGATTGCAGTATTGACACCAGTACACCATCTTTTTTGTTTTCGGGGATTCACGGACCCGGACATTGTTCCTGTGGTCACGGATTTCCTGATCTTCAGTTCAGTACATCAATGAACAGACATTAAGCCTGAGGTTCAAATTACTCTCCTGCAACTCCTTAATAGCTACTGCATATTGATCAAGGTGGGATTCAGTGTCCTCTACTTGTGACAAAACATGTGAGATATTCTCTCTAAATGTACTAAGTTCATTTTTAATTGTACTTTGCAAGCGGTCATTGTCTCTAATGCCTTTTTGGTAGGGAAAATCTTGGACTCTGAACTCTGCAGTATGAAAGACCCCCCTGTCTCTATCTCCCCAGAGAGGTCTGAACATGGTGATACAGCTGTAGAGCCTTCTGATTCTGTTGCTCCTCTCCCACTTCATCCACCTGCAGTTGCCGGTCCCAAGAACTCTCTTGGTCTGCAGTTAGAAATCTCTCCATTGGACCAGCTCTGGGCGATGAGCTCGGTCCCACATGCAACCTCCATCACCCCATACTGGCTGTGTTCAGTAAGTGCTGGCTCCGACTTACTGCCATAGACTCAGCATCAGCGGGAGCTCACACAAAGAGGAGAGGAGAAAGAGAGACGCTGGCTTGCAATCTCATACGAGGGAGGAGGGGGAGGACACGCCGACTCATTTCAGGACTTCAGCAGAGTCTCCCCCATTCTGTGGAACTCATTACCCCAACCTGTCTGCCTATCTCCTACTCTGTCTAGCTTTAGGCGTTCCCTTAAGACTCATCTCTTCAGGGAAGCTTATCCAACCTAACCACTAAAATATCAATCTCTCAAACAATTCATCCCCACACAGCAACCTCCTCACGTATCACTTCCCCCTCCTATTAGATTGGAAGCCCTCAGGGGCAGGGCCCTCCTCACCATATTGTCTTGAATTGTATTGTAATTGTAATGTCTTCCTTATATTGTAAAGCGCTGCGTAAACTGTTGGCGCTATATAAATCCTGTATAATAATAATAATAATAATAATAATAATTTCAGTCCTCTCATGGAAGTCTACACGGAGCAATCCTAGACATGTCCACTTGTCATCATGAGGCAGACACGCCCCAGAAACAATTTAATATAGAAAATGTAAGATTATGCACATGGGAGCAAAGAACGTGCATGCTGACTACTACTTGGGGTAGCTGCACTGGGGAAGACAGACATGGAGAAAGACTTGGGAGTCCTCATAGATCATAGATTCAACAATAGTTTGCAGTGCCAAGCAGCTGCCAGTAAAGCAAACATGATACTATCCTGCACTAATAATTAGTGTTCCAGTCGAAGGATAAAAGCATAATTTTAACACTTTTTAGATAGATCACTAGTTCGGCCACCTTCTCCTCAGGAAAGATGTCCACAAAATCGATCGAGTTCAAAGGAGGGCTACGAAATGAATAAAGGGGATGGAAGGCCTCAGTTATATAGATTGCCTCCAGAAATTAAACTTATTTTCCTTAGAACAGAGGCGATTAAGAGAAGACCTGGAAGACATCTGCTGGAACCGATTACCGTTGTCAACACGGACTCAGCTGGCCAGGCTGTGGTGGCAGGGACAGGAGGTGGTGTCTGTGCCGAACGGCTCGGGAACCTTAGTAGTCTGTGGGTGCGACAGGTCCACAGTATTACTGGCAGTCTGTCACGGTCATGCAGCAAAGCAAGGCAGTGGCAAAATGACTAAACAGAGAGATATCTCTAGCTAGCGGTTGCTACGCATTTCGAGGCGCTGCCTCTTTCTCAAGCCTAGATAGTTAGTGCAGTGGAAATGGTAGAGCTTGCACACTAACAACTTCCCAAACGTACCCACTCATACCGTTATTTATTCAACCTCACCTACTATGTAACTACGTTGGCCACCATTTCTTGTTGTATTACCTAATTTACACATAATAATCCACTTTCAATTCCTGAAAATTTTCACAAATTAAACCAACATATTACTAAAAATGCATCTGAGCAAAACATTAGAAGGTATACATTTAAATACTATGCTGATGCTAACCAATGGAGCTATTAATTCTCAATTTAAGATTTCAGACCTACAGTTAATAGGGATATTTGTCACCCTAGTAGAACATTGTTTGCTCTCCATTAATTATTTATCAAGGTCAGTGATGAACAGGCGTACCTTACACGTGCTTTAAGTTATCCTCGCACTAAATGTGTCATTGCATAATATGAGTACAAAGAGTGTAGCGACTACACTATAAATATTGAGCATCTCTCGGCTGGGCTCCACTCTTCAGAGAGACACCATGAAGTTGCTTCTGTTTTGCGTGCTCCTCGGAGCAGTGGGTAAGAGTGCCAATGTGGAAATAATGCTACTACCAGCTACAGTATTGCCATTTATGTTTTCTTCAGCTTTCTCACGCTAAATCAGAAAGTGAGGCAGTTATGCCTGAAGTAGATTTAAATCCAAATCGAATGACATTTAGGGGTTGATTTACTAACCTTATAAACATGCCACGAACAAGTATACACCTCTGTAGTGTGTTCCCTCCCAGCATGATCTATTGGTGGAATCTAGACACCTTTGTAGTGTGTACACACCCAGCAGGTGTGCTGTGCAAAGCCCTGCATGAATTGCAAGGTGATGTTGTGTAAATTAGCTCTATGTTGTGTTGCTTGCGTTGATGAATGCAGGAATGTAAATGCATGAGCTAATGAGAGTTTTGTCTAAACTGTGAAGCAGCATTATATATGCATCATGTGCATGATTTTTCCATATATGACATTAGTGGAAATATGCTTTTAGAGACTTTTTGGTTGATAAATAAGTTTTGCTGTGTGAAAATCACACGCACCTGGTGCGTGCGTGTGTTTAGGTTAGTAAATCACCCCCTTAGTTTACTATCATAAACTATTGCCTATTTTTTCATCCTTTTTGTATCTTTGCATGATAATCTACTCCAACCACTTCCAGTCTATTTGCACTCAGCTGCATATTTTTGCTGTTTACTGGCATCGTCTAAGAGTGACATCAGTGAACCATGCCCAAACAATTTTGATTCTGTATGGCTGCTTGTAGTCCCCACTATGGTTGTGTGCCAGGGAGATAAATTAGTAGACAGCTATTACTCCCATAACAGGAGGGACCTGAGCAAGGCCTATCACGGCATGATCACAAGGTGGCATTTATTGTTAGTTATTTTATATCTTTGCATCCTGGTGCCTTGTGTTAAATGTGCCTTGAGTTAAGGCAGCCCATTCAAATGAATGGGTTGACAATGCAACAAAATGTCCCCCCCAAAAAAAGGTTTGCACAATTTTTTGCCAACACGGCACACCACAATGCATGATTCGAAGCTACGGCCAGATCCTTCGGCAGCTTCGTGAATAGACCCCCTATGTGTTGTACAGTAGTGCACTGCAATGGCTCATTCCTGAAAATTAATGGGACTGCATCGTAAATTATTTTGTGTTGTGATAACTACAACACAAAAGTCTGTTTTAGCCTTCATAAAAGTTGCAAGTATGAAATGTTTGAAAGTTTTTGAAATGATAGGTAAAAATAAAATGTGATATGAGATAGTAATCACTTAGTTTAGATCTATGTTAATGATACAGGACAAAGTCCAGGCACAAGTTCTTAAAGTGATCCTAAACTCAGGAGTAAAATCTTAAAAAATGCATCCAAGTACCTTAACTATTAACAACAATGTATCTTATGTGTGTATCACTCGGCTGTAGATCCTCCAATCATCTCTGAATTGGTGCTGACACTGTCCTTTGTTCTGGAGGGGGGCTACTTTTGTTCCCCATGGTCCCTGTGTGTGTTGTAAAATAGTCACAGCTCCAAGCTCCCCCCGGGGATGGACTACAATCTCATGTTTAGTTTACTCATTTGTATAGAGATTGTAGTCCATCCCGGGAGCAAGCTTGGAGTGGTGACATGTTTTTCTTAATTACCTCCTTTGTTATTCTTTGGTCATTCAATATTAATGTATTTATTTATTTGTTTTTAAAGCTGCCTTTGATGATAATGATGATAAGATTGTTGGAGGAAATACTTGCGCCAAAAACTCCGCGCCCTGGCAAGCATCTCTCAACGCTGGCTACCATTTCTGCGGAGGTTCCCTTATTAATACCCTATGGGTCGTCTCTGCTGCACACTGCTTCAAAGCGTAAGTCACTAAATCTCACTCTGATGTTCCATTGGGCACTTTTTTTAGCATGATCCTTGTAACATAGAAGCATTGCAAGTTCATGGATTCCTTCTCTGTCCCCCATGGCCACACAATTTTGAAGATGAATCCCCATAACCATAGAACTTTACAATTATACTGGCCGCAGATTTTTTTAGTTTCCCTTGAAATGTACAATTTCTCATCTTCATCTCTTGCCATTTACCTCTGGGTACCAAAATGTGGATTTGCAATCTGCTGGAAAAGTGATGGAGTACCAAAAGTGTAGTGGATGGATGCTTGGAACAGAATTGGAGCAGAGGTAATTAATCAATCAGCAATAAGGGAATTTAAAGTGTTCAGCCTAGTATCATTTAACCATATTTACATATTCTTTATAATCAGCAATTGCTTTAAAACTGACCTCTGTAGCTGCTTTTTATGTGAAGTGATTAATTCTTAAAGATCCTCAATGTTCACCTTAAAGATTCTAGGGTTGTGTTCTAGTCAGCTTGGAAACATCTGAGGCGTGTTTACATTTAATGGTTGGCAGCCTGTCAATTTCTGATTGCGTCATGAATGTAGCCACCTTGCCTTAAAGTGACATTAAACTCTCAATTCCCCCACCCCAATGCTGCTGTAAGGACTTACCTTAAGTGATGATCATCTTCTTCCTTCCAGTAGTCCCTCCAGCGCTGGTGCAGGCCTCTGATCCAGCAGAGACTGCTGTTTCTTACTGTCTCATGGAGTCTGTCCAGCATGCACGCTCATAGCTGCATGCATTCACTTTCACTCTAGCTCTCCACCTCTCCCCTCCGGTGATATGGACTGCACATGCGCCTGCACACACTTCCTCTTGCATGGCCATTCAGGAAGTTGGATTCTACAGCCGGGAGTGAGCGGCAGAGACACAGGTAAGTTTTTACCTCTTTGGTAACTTTTTTCTTTAAAAATTTTGCATATACCTACTGCTTGCTAGAAGTAGACATATGCAGCTTGCTAGCAGTAGATATATGTTAAAAAAAAGAGACTTTAATATCACTTTAGGCGGGATGACTTAAATTTAATTGTGCTTAGACTGTATCCAATCTAGCTGATTACATATCTGTACTCATTTGGCTTTCTCTAAGGGTTCTGTTATTGATTGCATCTGCCTGGTGCTGAGTGTGACTTTAGCAGAAAGCAGAGCAACCAATAATGGGATATTGTTGATATCTACAGAATGTCTCTCAAGCCAATCACTAGGAGATTCATGACCAGTGGTGCATGCTGGGGGAAGACATAAATTCTGGGGTCTGACCATGTGAGTCTCTTTCTCCCCATAGTCCTCCTGCCTGGAGGAGGGTGCATTATGTGTGAGCTGTCTGATCAGGCCTGCATCCTGCAGGTGGTCAGGCGTAGACCCAGTTGGGGTCAGAAATTGTTCCTGGGATGGACAGCCAGGGAGTAACCTCATCTGCTGTAGGTACCAGAGAAGCCAGGATGGGCTTGGACCTCAAAGAGGAGTCTGGTGTCTCACCCGGAGGAGATCTCAAATATGTCTGCTGACCAGATATGGTTCTTTGACACAGTGTTGCAGCATTTTTGGTTTAAAGGCCCTTTGCACTGTGAAGCTGGAAATTGGTCAGTGATTCTGGAGTCCTGTGTTGTTCAAGATGTCTGCAGCCATATTAGAAAGCTCTTAAAGCGACTGCCACCCACATTTTTTCTTGCACATCCCTGAGGTGAAATGTCCCCCTATATACCCTCTGTGTGTGTATATATATATATATTCAGCTTTATTCTCTACCTTTTTCAATACAACAGAGTATATTCCATAGAAAAACTACCATCTAGTGCCCGAACATGTATACTGCAGAAGTTGTTGCAATAGATACAATCATGTGTATTCCAACAGTTACATTATATCACATTAATACATTCCTACTTTGCATTCTCTTATAATATATTTGGTCTGTTTATTTCAGCAACATTCAGGTGAGACTGGGAGAACACAACATCTTTGTCTCTGAGGGCACCGAGCAGTTCATCAACTCGGCCAAGGTCGTCAGACACAAACAATACAACTCCAGAACTCTGGATAATGACATCATGCTGATTAAACTCTCATCTCCCGCCACACTTACAAGCGCCGTGAAGCCAATTGCCCTCCCCTCTGGATGTGCCAGGGCCGGCGCCAGCTGTTCAATATCCGGATGGGGAAACACTCTGAGCAGCGGAAGTAAGTTAGAGAAAAGTTAATATTTTACCTCTATGATTTAGGACTCATACCCATAGTTAATTTGTGAGAAATGCTTGGGCTTCCATTGTTGATCTCCCTCTGAAATTACCGCACCGCACAGTACCTTGTGAAGGCCTTTGCCCAATCACAACACAGTGCACTGTAAGAGTCATGCTCGGGCAAAGTAATGATGACTTTGCCCAATCATGGCTCACAGCTAAGTCCTGCCCAATGTAAACAGTTGGGCAGAGCATGCAGTGAGATCACCACTAGCTCCGCCCAGTTGTTTATATTTTGCCGGCATCTGTCAGAATGCCATTCTGCAGCGGGAGTTCGCCACAAGCGGACGGGTAGGCTGGCGGCTGGATTTTTTAAAGACTTATTTTGTCAAGTTGTTGTCGTCGTGGACATATACATACATATATACTGTATATATATTTTTTTTGTTCTGCTTCGACATATGCTTTATTTTGCTTATTACTGCAGCCTGAGCCATGGATTGTTACCAACTATCTTATGCACTGCTTCCATCAGTCAGGGCCCCCAAATATGCCATCGCTCTAGGGGCTCATTGTTCAGTCTTTTTTTCTAAGCATACAATGTTAAAAATGGTTGTGTTATATTTTTCAGGCAATTATCCCGATCTTTTGCAGTGCCTAAAGGCTCCCATTCTGAGTGATGCTAACTGCAGTGGTTCCTATCCCGGAATGATCACTGCCAACATGATCTGCGTTGGTTATCTACAGGGAGGAAAGGACTCCTGCCAGGTAATGCATTTGCTTTTGTTATATCGAAGACAATCCAGGGGGAAAAAATCTAATAATTTTTTTAAGCCAATGCCACCCCATTTCACTTTGACAGCAGTGGGTAGCATTCTCTAATTTGTTGGTGTGATGGAGAACCATAAAGTGGCAAGGAGAGAATAGGATTTGCCAGCTGTTAAAAAGACTACCCCAGACCATACATTTTAACATTTACAGGATTATTCACTGAAGAGTTTGGAGAAGGCAGGAGAAGTGAACAATCTAGAACAGCATAGCTGATTTGGAAAGTGAGCTGAATTGGAGAATGTTTCCAAAACAGCTATTTTGGCCTAGATTGTTCACTTCTCCTGCCTTCTTTAAACTCTTCACCATTTAATGACTAACCCTGTTAAATTGCCAAGGCGACAGCGACAGCGACGATTCTGCGACCAAGCTCAGTGATGTGCGAACTTGGTACTCTATTGACTGTGGTACGGATCAGGCTGAGCCCCCAGAATTCCCATTTACTGGACCATTTTTTTATTATTATATTATAATTTTTTTATAATTATGTATTATATTATAATTTCTTATAATTATTTATAATTTATTATATTATAATGTTTTAATTTCGTGTTTCAAACTTTATCATACCTGGGATGTCTACTGGACTCTTGTTTGGACAGATTTAGGTGAGTTATTCCTAAGATTTACTAAGAATTACAGGCCTACAATACATAACACCAAATTTCCATGCAAAAAATTGTACCGCTTTTGGTACAAAATTCCTGGCGGTATGCCAGGGAGGTTAATCATAATTCAACGTATTTACAATTTTCAATATACATAGTCGTTTTTCTACTTGGTCATCACTTATATGTGTGTGTGACAACAAGAATCCGAGGATACAGCACCCAAGCATGGCCTATGTCCATAAAAACCAGAAAGAATTTAAATGGAGGAGCCTTGTAGTTGTGCTAATTATACAGCACATCAATGTTATTTATTTATTGCAATATTTTTTTTGCGGTCTTCTCCACAGGGCGATTCTGGTGGACCCGTAGAATGTGGAGGAGAACTGCAGGGTATTGTCTCCTGGGGATATGGCTGTGCCCTTCCAGACAGACCCGGTGTCTACACTAAAGTCTGCAACTACAATGGCTGGATTGGAGACACTATTGCAGCCAACTAAACCATCGTCAGTGTTCTGTTCGCTGTGCTACCTCAGCTTACAAAAACAATTCATTAATAAAATAGATTGCATGGGACCTGTGCTTTTGTTTTCAAATGTATTCTGTAATTTTATAAATAAAATAATGAAATAAAAAGTGTACAACATGAACTAAAAATGTACAAAGGGTTTACAGAAAGTGAATACTCAGATTTGTGGACCATTTCCTCTTACGGCACATTGTAACGATGTACGGCAATAATTTTATACCACTTCTATAGACGATCAAACAGCTAAACAGCTAATTGGTACTATGGAAAAACCGGGAACTGAACTGGAAGCACAAACAACATTATCTTCCTTCAGTGATCTACTTATCCCCCCCCCCCCCCAGATGAAGGGGGGAAGCAAT